CCTGCAGTGCCTTGTGGCCCTCCATCCTAAATATAGGATGTGGATCTGCGCAGATGAGCAGGACCCAGTCATCATGTGCTCTATTTCTGAGTTACCTCATCTATCTTGGAGCCCTTGATTCTTCCCCAAGTGAGGTGATGGTGGGAGGTAGTAGGTTCCCAGCAAAAGAAGCTGTGATCCTTGGTGTCCCTGCTCCTTCCAAACTTCTCAGGGTAAAATTGATGGTTCTGAATTATGTAAAAATGTGGAAGCAGGGTTTTGAATGTACACTCAGACCCCAGACATACTACGTAGAATTCTACTAAGTCCCTAAATATACACAGAGTTCACATTGCACAACTCACTGCAATGGTAGTGCACTTGCATTTGGGTTTCAAGTGGGAGAGTTGAGATTGGAAACTTATCAAAGCTTTCTGAACATAAATGATGGTCTCTTTGGCCTGTGTCTACATAGCATTTTCCAAAAATGAAATGAAGGTTGAGTCAAAACATGAACTTAGGGTTCCGTGACAGGACAGTCCCAACAGCAGAGTGTGCAGGTGTCTCAAAGCAAGGCAAAGAAGTGCTGGTTTTCCAAGAGCAGTAAAGAGAAGCAAAAAGTAGTAAAAAGAAGCTGAGAGATAATGCATAAACAAGGGACTCAAATTAGGTCATAGACCAGAGATCCTTAGCCTTAATATTGGGTTTCATTTAATAATAAAGGAGCAGTTGATATAGTGGCTCAGGCTGAGGATGATCCAGAGACTGCCTGGGAAGAGTAGAGAGTTACATTAGGATACTTTGTATAGTTAGGGTTCTTTTTCAGCTGATCAAGTGAGATGATGAATTTGAGGTGGAAAATGGAACAATCAAAAGTGTATGCTTCCCTTGTTGGGCATCTAAGTATAATGGGAACATGAATGATGGTGGGGTGGTGGTATTAATCACTAGTGTTACCAAGATACCTAAATAAATGAATAAATTCTAGTTAGGTTATACATGGTACCATCCCAGATAAACAAGGGTCTCTCAAACCATGATTCTTCTGACTTCAGCCTCTGAAGTAGTTAGTATGACAAGTGTGAGCCACCAGCGTCTAAAAAGTTCTTCCTTCTGTGTTGTTTATTGTAATCATCTTTTACCTTGGAAATTGAAGTAGTCATTATTGGAAAGTTATTGATTAGTTGGTTTGAAGTAGGAAGATAACTCTAGGAGGAAACCAATAAAAATAATACAGGTAATCCTATTTTTGTAGGTTTAATTAAAACTTGAATTTCTTTTGTTCATTTCTTTTTTGTTTGTATCATTTTGTTTAGTTTAGTTTTTTCCAGTGCTTGGGATGGAACCTGTCATCTTGTTCATGCTCAGAAATTGACCTACCACCATGCTGTTCATTTCTTTTCTCAAGGATTCACTTATTTTCATATTTCAATGTTTTTGGTGAAGTTCAAATATTTCATGAGCCCCAATCTCCAAAAATAACCATTGCAGAAAGACTGGAAGTGTGGCTCAATTAGTAGAGAATCTGCTTTGCAAACAAAAGCCTGAATTCAAAGACTTGTCAACCAAAAAATAAAAAGGAAGGAGAACAATGCAGAAAATGATGATAGATAACTCAACATGCTCATCAGCCCACTAGATGCGAGTGTTACAGAATTCATTAATCATCACCAAATAAAAATATTTTTAATGAATCCAGTGAATTTTTCCCAAAGAGTCACCACATTATAAACTATCAAATGCAGTTTAAATAATGTAAAACTATAGAACTCAACAAAGTCTGGTGTTTCTTGAGATGGTGTGTTAACATTCTGAAGCTGCATAGTACTTGAAGTCAGGTAAGACACAGATAAAGACTGGTGAGTGTTCTTTCCTTTCTCAGGGTATAACTGTGGCTATAATGGGATGATTTTCTCTTTCATGTTTTGACTTTGACATATATAGTTATTCTGTATTTACACTTCTCTGTAACACATGAAAAATATCTGTGAGGGTCAGAGTGAAAGATATCCACATTTTGGTAGTGTCATAAAGACTGAATTTCTGCATTTGATATTTTATTTTACCAGAAAATTAAAGTGACTGAAATGAGATGTTCTCTCTGAGAAATAGATGTGTAGAAGCCTAGAGTTTTCACACTAGTAGATGAGAGTAAAAGGACTTAATGGGCTCCCAGAGTTATATCCTCAGGTTTCTGTGATGATCAATGGAATCTCATGCATTTCATGGCTTCTTTTCACTAAGCGTGTTCTTCACCCTTGAAGTTTGTATGAAATTAGTGCAACTATGTGGGTTGTCCCAAAATTAGGAATGCAGTTGGCCAAATTGCTAGGCAGAAAAGATCTTTGGTTTCCAAGAAAGGGGAAGTCCTTGGAAAATAACAGATGAAGACGGGTGGCTAAATCAATTTTCACTGCTGGTAAATTATTCCCTGTGATAATTCTGTTCTGAGGGTGACAGTAAAGAGGGCTTTTCTGCTGATTCAGGCTCAGGGTGGGTAAGAGTGGGCATGACTGCAGGATGAACAAAACTTTAAAATGTTTGCTTCATAAGCATTTTCTTCATACTATTGTGTACAATCTGAGAAAATCCTTTTTCCATCTTATCTATTAAACAGCGTTCTTTCTTGACCATTTGGAGTTAGAAAAAGTATTAGACCTATCCCATATAAATGCCTTCTTGGTACTATCTTTGAATTTATTTCTCAAACTCAATCATGTGTGATATTGAACTAAACTATTTTCATTTTTGTTTCAGTGGTCATTGTTTTGGGATCTTTTCTAGATGTCTTCTCCAGGATGTGAAAAATAGTTCTAATTAGCATTCATATTATGTCCAGTGAATATTAGAAACAATTTCAAGACTCTATTTCATAATTAGAATTAGAGAAATGTCAGTGGAGATTGCATCAATTGCCATTCCATTTAAGCATAACACATTAGTTATGTATTTGGATTTTGAACACTTTACTCAGCTAATTTCTAAATCAGGGACATAGATCTTTATTCAAACATGGTGTTTTATGTTGAATAGACATGTGCATTTCTCCATCACATTCTCATTCATTTGTATATATAGTACAATAATCCTTTTGTTTTGCTTGTATTTCTGATATTTATCCTCATTGTTTGTCTTTTGCCACTCTACTATATTAATGTTCCACTTTCATTTTGTATGTTCCTTGAGTAATTACTTTCAAAATGCTCTTCTTCTTGTGTTACTCTCAAACAGAGACTGCATACATGGTTCTTGAATTGTAGATGTATCCCAGGATTAATTGAACATATGCTAGTCCTTCCTTAGTTTTGCAAATGCTGTGATGACAGGCATGTGACAGCATGACACTAAAAGTATTCAGATTTTATCTTTCCTATTTCCCATGCAATTGGATTATTGTCAATGACATTGGAGAATACAATGTGTGTTTTCATGGAGGAATTGGTTTGCAGATTTGCACTTTTAGCTACCAAGTCAAGGGAAGACTGAATCCCTTTCCTCTGAGAGCTATTTGTTAATCTCATTCTTATAGTACAGGGTCCTTGATAATGTAGTTGGAACATTGTTTATTAATATTACATAATAGGACACTTTGTGTTGTTTCTGTTGCTCTCTTCCATTCTTCTTCTTTATTATTCTTCCTTTTCTGACAGTGGTTCTTTTATGTAAATCAGTCCAATGTTCAACCTGTGATTGTTCTGGTGGAATTTCAAGATTATGCCTCCGCAAGTGGGTCATGTGATCCCTTTCTTATTCCAATTCATTGTTATTGCTTTTTGCAATTTATGATACAGATTACACATGAAAAGTAGTTTTGTTCATGAGTTTAAGGTATATTTTTGAAATTGCAAAATTGTATACAGCTAGGTTGTTGTGATAACTTGTTGAAATCCATGTATTTCTAGGGAAATGTGTCACATTTCTCCTTTCAACATTATGTTTTTGCATACTGAAGGAAAAACTGTAACTTAATCTGAATGGTCCTTCATGAGACTTATTTAGCTTTAACTTTGGGTTAGTCTGTAAGAAACCAGGTAGAAGCTTCCAAATGTTCTTCCTTCATACAGTCACCAAGGAGGTGCTCAATTCCAAAAAAAAATTGTTTTCAAAAGATGTATTAAATACTGTTTGTCATACCAATGTTCTATTCATAACTGTAAGTGCATTGTCAGTTCTCTTAGTATAAACTCCCTCTGGTGAACATTGCAGAAATGTGCAAATAATCATAAGTAGATTGTGTACAATAGGATATTACTGGAATAAATTGCTTCAGGACACTCCCCTTTTTACACTTTATATTTGGTTGGGTGAAGTTCATCTCATTAGCTGTTCTGCAATGCCAGTGGAAATGGAATTTTTCCTCATGTATTAAAAACATGATTCCTGTAGTCTATTTTCACGTGATATTCCTCTAATGGGAACTAAGAAGAAGGAGTTTGTCAATAGATTGCTACAATCTCAGAGTATAAAATGTAATTTTTGTGACAATATTCTGCTTTGAATGTAAGAAATAGGTCCAGTGAGATATCAGAATTACCATGAAGTACCTGTAAGGATACATAGAGAATGAGCGTGTGATAAAAACAAAATGCATTGAATATGTGGAGAACACATCACCATGTGAACTTACTGCACAGAGATTGTCTGTTTCCACTACTGTGACACTCAAAATTCTCACAAATGTGTGTGAGACATATTAGGAGCCCCTGACCCTTGAGGATGTTGCTGTGAACTTCATCATAGAAGAATGGGGCTGTTTGGATCCTTCCCAAAAGAAGCTCTACAGAGAAGTGATGCTAGAAACCTGTAGCAACCTGTCCTACATAGGTAAATATGGCATCATTACCTTATAAAAACTGTACACTAATGTTGTGGATCATTGGTGTTGTTGCCTCCTGGATGTTTAAAAAATCACAGTAATGGTTCATATACATACATGATCATATTATACCATGAAAATAGCTGAGTTCTCAAATTGTTCTTTCACATTGATTAAATACTAATGATTTCTCTGTGTCGGTATCATGCAAACAAAAGAAGAAAATGAAAATATTGAAGAGGACTTCAGGAATCCCAGAAGAAATATGAGGTAAATTGTACTCATAACCAAAACAGTGAACATAAGATGTGGCATTATGAAGTTTGAAAATCAAGGAAATGAGACTACAACCTCTACATATAAATTTCTGAAATCAGTGAAAACTTTCTCTAAGACCAGAAAAATAAGTTAAGCATCCAGAATCAGAAAATTCAAAATCTCATACGTGCCATTATTCCTAATATATTTTGTCCTAAGAAGTCGCAAGAGACACTGTCCTATTGCTCAATATACAAAAATAACCCCACTCTGTTCACAAACTAATTCAAGTATATTAATTCAAATTCTGTCAGAGTGGAATTATCAAGTGCACTGGTGTAGACTGGTACTTTTTTCAACCTATGTCCTCATGGTGATTCTTATATTGCATAATCAGACATGCTTTTGATCCAAGGCATTTCAATTAGCACTTTAAGTGTATTTCAATGTAGTAAAACTCATTCAATGTTGTCAGTGACCTAACATGGAAATAGTATTATGGAAATACATATGAACAGCACTGTTTCCATAATAGCTGTCCTCAGGCCCTACTGCAGAACATGTAGTACATTTGTGTTCATAAATCCTACAGAAACAAACACCATAACTTCTCTTATTAAATCATTAATAGGATAACAATGGTAATCTTTGTTTTGCAGACCTAAAGTGTTAGAGAGACTGCATGGGCATAAACAATGCATTCAAAGTGGAGAATCCTTTCACCAGACTTCAGAGAATATAGTAAGCAAGGAAACTGTGCTTAGAAAAGCACCATGGCAAAACAATATATGTAATGCTTATGGGAAAACCTTCACTGATTTCAGGGCTCTACTAATCCATGAAAGGATACACGATGTAGTGAAATCTCACGGATGGAAACCATGTGGAAAAGCCTGCACTCAATCTGATACCTTTCACATTCTTGAAACCTCTTAAATTAGTGAGAAACCCTATGGATGTAAACAATTGGGGAATGCCTACACTCATTCATGTAACCTTCATATTCATGACAGAATTTACAGTGGAGAAAAATCCTATGGATGTAAGCAATGTGGGAAAGTTTTCACTCAAGCCAATTACCTTCAAATTCATGAAAGAACTCACAATAGAGAGAAACAGTATGGATGTAGACAATGTGGGACAGTCTTCACTCATACATCTTACCTTCGATACCATGAAAGAATTCACACTGGAGAGAAACCCTATGGATGTAAGAAATGTGGGAAAACTTTTGCTCAATACAGTTACCTCCAAATTCATGAAAGAATGCACACTGTAGAGAAACCCTATGGATGTAAAGAATGTGGAAAAGTTTTTGCTCAAGCCAGTTACCTTCGAATTCAGGAAAGAACTCACACTGGAGAAAAACCCTATGGATGTGAGCAGTGTGGGAAAGCCTTTAATCAAGCCAGTCACCTTCAGAGACATAGACGAACTCACACTGAAGAGAAACCCTATGGATGTAAACAGTGTGGGAATGCCTACACTGATTCCAGTAACCTTCATATTCATGAAAGAACTCACACTGGAGAGAAACACTATGAGTGTAAGCAATGCGGGAAAGTTTTCACTCGAGGAAGTTACCTTCAAATTCATGAAAAAACTCACAGTGGAGAAATAGCCTATGGATGTAAGCAGTGTGGAAAAGTCTTCACTCATGCATGTTACCTGCAATATCATCAAAGAACTCACACTGGAGAGAAACCCTATGTGTGTAAGAAATGTGGGAAAGTTTTCACTCAAGCCAGGTACCTTAGAATTCATGAAAGAACTAATGGTGAAGAGAAACCCTATGGACATAAGCACTGTGGGAGAGCCTTTAATTGAGCCAGTAAACTTCAGTGACATAAAAACTCACACTGGAGAGGAACCCTATGAATGTAAGCAATGAGGGAAAGCCTTCAATCAATGCACTCACCTTCAAGTGCATAGAAGAACTCACATGCAAGTGAAACCTTATGGATGTATGCAATGAGAGAAAGCACTCACTCATTCCAGTTACCTTTGAAGCCCTGAAAGAACTCAGACTGAAAACAAACCTTATAGGCATAACCAATGTGAGGAAAGTGCTCACATGCCTCACTACCTTTAAAAGACATAAAGATACTTAGACTTAGACTAGAGAGAAAAACCTATGGATATGAGCAATTTCCAGTGACATTAACAAATGTGAACTCACTCTGCAGAGAAACTCTATGAATGTAAGGAATGAGAGACAACCTACAGTCTATCCAGTATCCTTCATACTCATCAAAGAATGCGAACAGGACAAACCCAGTGGATGCAACAAACAATGCAGAAAGTCTTCCTTAGTTTGAGCACCTTTAATGCACCTGAAAGAACTCATGTTGTAAATAAACACTAGTGTCATACCAAATATGATAAAACATTCACAAATTCATCTCTTGGAAATCATGAATGAACTCAGAAACACTATCAATGTAAGTAATGGAGGAATACTTTCATGTTATCCAGTAATCTTCTTTGATATGACACAATTCATATTGTAGCACAATGTTATACATGTGTGTAATGTGACTAGGCCTTCACACATTCCAGTGCTCCTACAAAATTAAAAATGGAGATTAACTGGATTAGGAAAGCAATGTGGAAAGTCTTCACTCATTTCCATGACCTCAAACATGAAAATCCACACACTGGAGAGAAAATCTATAGGTGTAAGCATAATGAACCTATTTGTATTCTTTCTATTCACCATCAAGCAAATGTAATAATACAATCTGTGACAAACCTTAAAGAAGCAACATATATTGAATATCTTCTCTCATGCCAATTACCAAAAACTACATTTAAGATATCAAACTGGAGCAAAACTATGTATGGAAGTAATGAGGGAAAGCCTTCACTTATCCTGCTTCCTTTTAGCAATGTGAAGGAACTCCATTCTCACACTCATGACACTTCCCAGTTTATATAACTTTTGTTAGCAAAAGCATGCCCTGTCACCTGCTTTCCTCCAGAGATATGATGAAAGTTGATGCGAAGAGAAGACTTGACTCATAGGTTTGTACTTCCAGGGAAAGGACTGTACCTCCAAGCCACACATCACATCCAGTCTGTTTTCTCCTAGTTATATTGGAGAAAGAGCCTGTGAACTCTTTGCCTAGGGTGACCTCCAATCATGATCCTCCTTGCCTACCTTCTCAAGTACTAGGATTATAGGACTGAGCCACTAGCAATTGGCTTGTACATTCTGAGATCTTTGGGATAGGCATGTCTAAATTTTTTCTCTTTAAAGAGTCCAGATTATAAAGACAGATTATAAAGACAGCCACATGGGACCCTGCATCAATATACTTGCTTAAGTGCTGGAATGGGTGGCTTAAGAATTTCTTTTATGTTGTACTGGAATTTGGACTCAGGACCACACATTTTCTGCCCAGGTTTTCTACCACTTAAACTACATAACCAGCCCCATGTATCTTTTTGATTATGATGTTCAACATGCTCTATGTTTTATATTGACAGGGACTTATTTAACTGGATTTGTATAATAGGTGACTTTCAACTTATGATGTTCCAACCTCTGTTTTCCAATTGCTGGGATTAAAAACCTGTGAAATGATACTTGTGAAAGTGTTTAGATTTTATCTTTCTTGTTTCCCATTGCAATTGCATATTTTCAAAGACATAGACAAGGATAGAAAGCATGTTTTCAATTACAACCTGGATTTATCTTTGTCTCATATTTGAAAGTGTTTATTGTTTTGGCCACCATTGTATGATGCCTGTTCTGTCAAGAATCAATTTTCCCTTTACATTGAAATTTAGTGAGGACTCATTTGTTTTTCAAGGAGATCTATTTGTTAATGTCTTTTTTAGATACAGCAAATTTAATAGTATAGTTTCAAGCTTTCTTCTTAATATTAGCCTCTACATCACTTTTTATTGTTTTCTTTCTCTAGCTCTTCTTTTCTTTTCATTCTTTTTTCTAGATTATTGCTGTGTAGATCCCTCCAAAATTTAATCCATAATCTTTCTGTTTGGTTTACAATTTGGGCCTCTTTCTTGTCCTCAAGGAGCTACAAATTTGGGCCTTATTGTGAGACTAAAGGATTAGTTTGTTTGTTTCTTTGTCTTTTTTTTTCTGGGCCCTGGGATTTGAACTCAAACCTTTTTGCTACCTACTCAAATAGTGTACCCTATGACCCACCCCAGCAGCCTTTTTATGTGTGTTAAGTATTTTTAAGATAGGTTCCTTCAAAGTATTTGCCAAACATAATTCTCCTGATTATTTCAAAATATAATCCTCCTGATTGCTCCTCTTCAGCAGGTAGGATTAAAGTTTGAGCTACTAGTACCCAGGTCTGGAAGATTGTTTTCTTTTTCCAGTGAATTCCAATGCCTTCAGGCATTTATTCTACCTAGTATACTCTGTAAAGTGGATTTTGCACCATAGCTTACACTGTGTTGCTGGAATTAGAGAATTGCAAATATCCCTGAGAACCAGGACAACTCAGAGTGAACACAGTCAATTCTACACACAAACCACCCCTTCCCTTTGATAGGGAAACACCAGAAATAGGACAAAAATGGAAGCTATATTAATTTCTTTAAGAAAAATGCTTAATTAAAATGCTATCCAAAAATGCTAAGAGGAATATGGAGGGATGACCTCAGCAAACACCACATGTGGTCACACTTCTACAAAAGATCAAGGACATATTGGGAGAATGATAGGAATTTTTGATGTCACTTCTTGGTAAAACAATTTACAAAGAAATGAACATAGGATAAGCAAGAGGTTTATTTGGAAAGCAATGGTGAACTGAACAAAATGTAGTCCTACTGCTCTGATATGAAATTGGGCAGTTCTGTTCATACGATGCAAAGCAAAAGAAAATCAAAGGTGCATCCTCTTGCACCTTTGATTCCCACTTGGGTGGGAAGATTCAAGTAAGAATATTGACTGGGGGTTCTGATAACTCAAGATTTTCATTTTTCAATGTAAGAATATTGCACTGGGGGTTCTGAGAACTCAAGATTTTATTGTACAAATGGGGGATGGTCATTACTGGAAAAGTGGTCTATGTGTGATTAACTCTCATAGTTTGAGCTAGATTCTGGTGGCTTAAACATATAATCCTAATTGTTAGGGTGAACATAGGGAAGCCACATGAGGACTGGACCCTTCCTCATCACAGGTGGCTTACTGAAAGTTCTACACCCAGCCCTAAAGAATAACAAACATTCACCTTTAGCCATTTCCTAGAAATTCCCCACAGAGCCTCATAGAATGACGCTATTACCTTGGGAGTGGCAGAGAACTGATGGAGGACATTCCTGTCCATTGACTTCCTGGAAGTTCTCGCTGGGATTCCCTTCTTTCATGGACTTCTCTCACTAACTTCCTATATCTATCCCTAGTATTCAAGAAGCTGTGGGGTCCAACTCTCTTGCTGGGGAATGCTTTCAAAGAATTCTTCCCCCAATAAAGCATGTTCTGATATCTTGAGCTGTGCCCATGCTGCTTTCAATCTAGAATCTCTGTCTCCTTATCTAACTCTGCATGCATGTCAGTCCAAAGTGCTTTTTTCCAGTTAACAGTAGGTACTCATGAAGCAGAGATCAGGATGATTGCAGCTTGAAGCCACCTGAACAATTAGTTCCTGAGGTGACAAGTTCAAATCTCAGTATGTCAAAAAGAAAAAAAAAAGGTCATAAAATTTTCCTTGTGTCAACAAAATATCCTAGATGCTGTGTTGGAGGGTACTTTGGCTTGGATAGTCTGGCTGAGGCTGTAGTTTTTGGTTGGATCCTGGGGTTTCAGGTCAGCTAGAACCTGGTGTAACATAGGCATTTGTTACTTTTAGCTCTCTAGTCTGTGATTCATTATCAACAGAGAAGCCATGGTTCCCAGCCATTAGATTTCCTAAAACTTTTAGTAGTTGTCATGACAGACTTCCTGCTTCCAAGACAAGAGAGTCTCACCACAGTGCCATGATTACATCCTCTTTGCTATCCAAAGAAATACAAGGTGAGACTACTCTCATTTTTGGTCTGTAACTGAGTTGCTTCCTTTTTACATGTGTTCTCCAATAAATTCTTAGTGTGGGATTAAAAGGTTTTTGCACATATTATTTTGGTAATGCTTTGTCCATTCTCTTATATTGAGTGTGTAAACATTTTAAAAGGCATACAGTAGTCAGGGACACCTGAAGAAGTAAGGAGAAAGGTTAAGTTGTGCTATTTCTTGAAATTATTGATTTCTTAAAAATAGTTTCTGATATCATAAATGAATTGTGTATAAATTTGGTGACATAGGAATGAATTACATGTTTCCTTTTATTCAGAAGGAACAGAAGGAATATATTTTCAACTTGTTTAACTCACATGCTACTTCTCTTCTGTCTTAATTAGCATAAAATAAGACATCTAACATTGACATTGATTTCATTTCTGTGTATCATATTCACACGTAATGTATCTTGACAGCAATAGAGCAATCAAAAGTGAATAGGACATTTAAAGACATATTCTTTATATAACTGAAGGGTCACACAGACCTGTATAGGCCACTCATGAAGGTAGCAATTATCTTAAGGCAGCAAAGAACATAGACCACCAAGGAGCTATACTGAAGTTAATGGGGAAGCTATGGTGAATATTTACTTCCTGGGCAGATGTGTGCTCAGGATGACTCAACATTCTCATAGTCTTTGATAGACTTCTCCCCAAGCTCTTGAAGGGAAGGGCCATTGAGGGTAATACATATTCATCATTATGACCAAAACTGAGTCACATACTTCTTTAGATTCCTGCATAGATGTATATAGAGGGATACATCCCCAAACACAGAAGAAATAAGATAAGAATCTTAATATCAACACTTAAAGCTCCACGATGCACAATGCATTTTCCATGATGAAT